TACCCAATTCCAGCGGACCACCAACTACTGGAGATGGCCTGAACTGCATCTACATGGACAACTTATTCTAAGGATCCTTTCGCACATTACAGTTCTTTGTACATACATATTCTGTATTACATACAATATGAATTTCATACAGATACACTCAGAGGACCAGGGCTGGCTGAAGTGCTCTACTGAGTACACACCTGGTGGCAAAACTAAGGCTCTTGATGAGTCATGTGTGATGCAGCTGCCAGCAACTTACTAAAAGTCACAGTATGAGTCAGCAGCAAAAGCAGGTTTTAAACTCCAGCTATCCAGAACTGTGCCAGATTCATTTTGGTCTTTCTCTGGAGAACTCTGGGGACTTCTCTACTACCCTAGACCTCTAGCTGGGTCCGGGATCTGTCCACCAGAGATTGGTGCTGGAAAGTAGCTCAAGTTTAAACCTTACTCAGAAGCACAAAGGATTGCAGGAGTACTGGTAACAGATGCCACTGATTTCACAAACTGATTTAGAATTAGTCAACATGTAGCTAGGAGGCGTAGAAAGTCCCTCTCATCCCAGGAAGCAATTTTATGTTAACAGACCCAAAAGCCCAGCCCCTTGTGAGTAAAGAACTTTATGGAGAGAAACGCAGCAAAGCATAAACCCTTAGTCTCATCCTGCTGCATCAGAAATACTTCCACCTGCTGCAAGGGTTCCTGGAGAGGAAAAGTCTAAGGATAAGAAAAACTTAAGGGATTGAAATAACATTTTGCTGAAGCGGAAAGTGATCGGACACTAAGAAAAATCTGGAGAGAATGGTCTCCAGAGCTGCGTTTCCATACTCCATGTTTTGAAAATGAATACAAGGAAGTGAACAGAAAATTGCAGGCTGATATGGATCTGTGTAACACAGACATCATCTGGCATGAGTCTGAGATGTATGTCTGGTAAAGCTCTAAGGACTCTCCCATTTGAATATTTGACACATATGTAATCATTCACACATTACACTGTTTATTTCTGTCCTCTAGGCACCTCAAGACAGTGTATATAGTTTTCTCAAAGGGGCTCCTATCCCAGCACCCAGACCATCTTGCTTGGTTATTTCATTGTGCCATGAACCCAAATTACAACTGAGCAGCCCTTTTCTAGCTTTGTTGTTGTTCAGTCGCACAGTCGAGTCCGACTCTTCGCGACCCCATGGACCATCTCCCGCCAGGCCCTCCTGTCTTCCGCAGTCCTCCGAAGTTGGCTCAAGCAACTGAGCAGCCCTTTTCTAGCTAGACCTTTACAAAACGCAGAGAATGGACTTCAGAGGCCACACTGACAATTTGCTCTGTGTGTGTCTGTGTCTCTCTGTGTGTGTACTTTCCAGTCTATAGTCACTAGGAAAACTTTGCTCAGTTTTCTTTCTTTTTTTGAATTGCTTGGCAGTTCATTATCTCTAGGGAAAATCACTTCCATGCAATCTGAAGAATGTGCAAATGCTATTGAAGATAAAACAGACAAAAAGGGGATTTGAGCCAGAGAAGAAAGGAGGGATTGTGCTGCCGCTTAAACATTTTTTAAAGTTACGTTCATATGACTCTTCTGTCTCTGCCCCACAGGTCCAGGCCCCTCCCTTCTGGATAACTTCTGAAGACTGGGTGATATGCAGTAGCTAGCAGCTTGAAGCTGTATCCATACATCCTGTGTAGAACTATGCACTTGCTGAAGGTTCTCAATAGCCCCCCCCCCCACAAAGACCTGTTTTGTTCTCAGGTGCATCAATTCAACTCAACACCTCCAGGCAAAGAGGAGGCAGATTTGTCTGTAGCCCTTGCAGGCACTGCCTATTCCAACAAGCACAAGATGCCCCTTTAAGTACAGTTAAAGGACATGCTGGGGAAGCAGGTATGCAAGAGGCGCTCACAATTCAAACTGCAATGCAGGAAAAATAACACACTCAAGGACTTGTAATTTAACTGCATGCATCTGTAGCATCCTGAGTACATGGGCTTTTCTTGAATGGAACTTTGAATATATACATATGAGCAAAACTCATTTCCCCTCACACCTTAGGAGATGAAGGGTCTCCGTCAGAACCCTCAGCAGTGGTGTTGCTTCTGGAAAAGATGCCCGGGATTTGTGGCTTCTATCACTGATGCACCCCTGACCAAAATCATGGCAAAGCTCCCATTGTTGATACTTTGGATGGCAAAATGGCACAACGGATGCTACTGGGGGCAGATACAGGTGTTACTCTGTATAGTTAGGGCTGGGTACACATAGTACTACATTTTTCGGCAACCCAAATTCAATATCAAGAGGGGGGAAAACCCTGAACTCCGCAAGAAATATAAACTGGGCAAACTAAGCAATCTCACAAATTTCTGCATGATCTATTCTGCTCCAGCTGGTTATTGGGGGGGCCTATACTGAAGCCTCACTGTCCTCCTATTATTTGACATGCACCCTCCATCTACCTACCCCTCTAGTTTCTGAGGTCCCACTGGACTCCGTCCATGCACGTTTTGAACAGTCTTTGCTGTGTTAGTGGCTAGAAACATGTAGTTATACTTTTAGTGAAGGATGAGGTTTTCAGTATGCTAAATGTTAATGCTAAAGAGCATGCTTGTTTCATACAATGCATAGACCACACACCATCCTTTGCTTAAGTTACCCCTCAGCTGCAGTATTAAGTTCAGTTTCAAGAAGGGTACTGGACTTGAAACTATATCTTGCTGTCCGTTCCACTGCTCCTTATATGAAAAATGCTCACTTTGGACACCAAAATCCTTGATTTTTGCAACTGAGCCATAGAACCACTGACCCTCTCTGTGTGTACCTTTCCAAAAGGGGTAGCTTCTGCCTCTGTGATTGTTATCAACTTGGCCCAAGCACACATAAAGACTTTCTATCACCAGTTCTGTCTTCCTGGCCTGTTTGCATATCATATAAGCAGTGGACTGCCCTAAAGGTTGGGTACTGCTTGTTAGGTTTTAAAAATACAAGAGTAAACTTAACTACTTCAGCTGAAGTCTTTGTAGGTAACTGGGGCTGGTAAGAAAGCAACCATGGAGGCAAGATCACTTATACCATGAAATTATCCAGACGGGTAGCTGTGTTTCTCCGTAGCAGTAGAAAAGAGCAAGAGTCCTGTAGCACCTTAAACTAACAAAATTTGTGGTAGGGGATGAGCTTTCATGAGTCACTGCTCTCTTCTTCAGATGTGAGCAGTGATGCATGAAAGCTCATCCCCTGTCACAGATTTTGTTAGTCTTTAAGGTGCTACTGGACTCTTGCTCCTTTCTACTACCATGAAATTATGTATACGTAAAGGAAATTATGTATACGTAAAGGTGGTTATAAAGTAAAAAGAGAACCACTGGGCCATCCAAGTGCCCTAAGAGGAAATAACTTCTTGAGTAAATAAATAAGATGAACTGATGGTTAATCCCCTTCTTCCAACCAACATAGAAACCAAAATATACTGTATAAAAGAGAAGTTACTGTTTCTTTGGCACTGACGCAGTCTGTCTTCTCTTCTCTCCACAAAGATGTTTTTATTTTATGCAATATATACCAAAGTCAATTCCCCATGCTAATTTCTCATTCTTAAAAACCAGTAGGTGTGAAAACGTCAAACCTCTTTGACTGTCAGAAGGCACTCTGTTGTCACACATGACTCTGAAATCTCTCTTTACTGCACTGGTTTACCAGGAACACACCTTTCCTTGTTCAAACAAATCTGAGCTCCATTAAAGACGGGAATAAAGCCATGCCCTGTTCCTTTCCTTGCCCTCGTCCCTTCATTAGCCACAGGAATTAAAATGCGATAAAATGCTGAGAAAGATGCCAAGAGTACAACGCAGGGAACCTTATACCTATCTGTAATTAATTTGCAGAAGAATCTGGATTTCTCATACTTCATTTAATCCAAAAACCCACTATACATTTTAACAGGAGATAAACCTGGAGAAATCAAATGACAACCTGGGGACAAAACACAGAATTCAAGTCATTGTCATGCAGCAGAAGTAGTTGTGAATTTCCTGAATTCTGCAGGGGGTTGGACTAGATGACCCTGGAGGTCCCTTCCAATTGTATGATTCTATTATCTTATTTGCTTCAACAAATGTCTATGACATCAGGCTCTGGTGGCAAAACGGGGCTCACTGGCTTACCAGCATCACTAGGGAGAATTTTTTTTGTTACAAAGGACTGTTGTAGATGGAACATGAGTTAAAAACATGGCAGGAAAAACAAAATAAACAAACAAAAAAAATCTCATGTTGATATGATTGTAAGTTCCCCAAACCAATAAACCCTGGGGATCCCCTTTCAAGCTTTGAAATCCTTTGGCATCTTCTCTCAAGCTTAACAAAGCAAAATCAGATTGGCTAGCAGACCTCATTTCTAATCCATGTTAATAAGCGAACAAATCTCTACACACACACCCAGCCCCTCCACTAAAATATCTCACTAGGACCTCCATCCCACGGCTTTATTCTCATCTTCACTTTCAGATTTCTAGCAGCAAGGTATTTTAGTGAGCATTAACCTCAGGCCTCCAAGGGGGAGAGTTGTCCAACGTCGCGGAATCGTTCTTGCTGTTCTTGCTTGCGCGGTGCACAGCGTTCTAAATCCATACAGAGAAAAGAACGAGAAGATTATATTGATCTGTGCACAGGCTCTTGCAAAGGTGTCAACACACCCCACTGCAAAACCTATCAAAGTCAGCCGGTCACAAAAGTGGCGCCACTGGAAAAGGTGCCATTTAGCTGATTTTAAGACCAACCCAAATCTTTACTTCTGTGTCACTTCATTATTCAACAATCCTAGCCAGAATGCCAGTAAATATTCTTGAAAAAAACGACTTGCCTGGTCTGCTGTGAAGTGCCTTCAGCCAATTTGGTTAGGGAACCAAACTGATTTTTGCCTTTTCTTTGTAAGGCCAACATTTTTGTATCGGGTAGATTTTTAAAAAACACTATTTAACACTGTTTTAGCCTGGAAACTGTTGTTTTAACTGTCTGTGGTTTGTTGTTATGGTCTATGTTTTTTATGATGGGTAGGGGCTGGATTTTAATTAATATCTTTTAAAGTTTTGTTATTTTCATTTTTTTTTAGCTTCCTCAGACAGGTTCCTGGAGAGGGGGAATAAGCAAGCAAGCAAACAAATAGCTTTTTAATATTGTAGCAATCTGCTTAAAACTAATAAGTTAAGAAGCAGTATGAGGTGGTGGCAGTAGTAGTAGTAGTAGTAGTAGAATTTTGGTGCCATGACTGAGAAGGCCACAGCTCAGGATGCTGTCTGCATGAGTTGGTGGGGGCCTCTGAAGCAGGGCCTAAGGAAATGACTGCAGTGGTTGGGTAGGTCTTGGTCCCAAACCATATAGGGCTTTAAAGGTCAACGCCAGCAGCTTGAACTGTGCCTGGAAACAGACTGGAAGCTAGTGTAGATGGGCCAAGTCTGGACTGATACAGTCCCTACAGCTCATTCCAGTCAACATCCTGGCTGCACCATTCTGCATCAATTGAAGTTTCTGAACACTTCTCAAGGGCAGTCCCATGTAGAGCACATTTCAGTAACCTAATTGAGAGGTGACCAGGGCATGCTCCACAATGGCCCGATGTTTTCTCCTTGGGAAGGCCACACCTGGCTAACTGGCTTAAGGTGGTAAAAGGTACTCTTGGCCATAGTTGCTGCCAGCTGAACCAACAGTAGACCTGTGTCTAAGAGTACCCCCAAACAAAAGACGTCTTCTTTCAAGGGGAGTGAAACCCCATCCAGGTCAGGCCTTCTGCTCACCTGGAGCATTTCCATCTTGTTGGGATTAAGCTTCAGTTTATTAGCCTGCACCCATCCCAAAACGTCCTCCAGGTAACAGTTCAGTGTTTTTGCATCCTCCCTGGAATCAGCTGGAATATTAAGCCAAGGTACCAAGCAGCAATCCCCCAGGACCATTTTCTGAAACCTACTGTCCAGGTAGGACTAGAACCATCACAAAACGGTGCCTCCCAACCAATGCTACCTCTACACTGTGGAGTCTTGTGAGCAAAAATTCTACTTTGTGAGCTACTGGCATTAAAGCTGTGAGCAAGCGATTTGACTGCTGCATAAATTAGTTTGCTCTGGAGCCATCCTTCCTGAGCTAAGACAAAAATGTGTGTTGGAGGCTAAAAACTGTGAGCTAGTTCACACTAACTCAGCTTAGAGGGAACACTGCTCCCAACCCTAGCTCCAAAAGGCGGTCCAGAAAGATACCACGATTGATGGTATTGAAAGCTGCCAGAGATCCAGGAGAATCAACAAAGTCGCATTCCCTCGGTCTATCTCCCAGCGCAGGTCATTCACCAGGGTGATCAAGGCTGTTTCAAACCCATAAACAGGCCTGAAACCAGGCTGGAATGAATCCAAGCAATCCAAAAGAATTTAGGATCTGATGTCTCCCAGCGCAGGTCATTCACCGGGGTGATCAAGGCTGTTTCAAAGCCATAAACAGGCCTGAAACTAGGCTGGAATGAATGCAAGCAATCCAAAAGAATTTAGGATCTGATGAGGACATAAACGTGATATGCCTTTGCTGACTCTGACAGAAATATTATAAACTGTATCTGTATTGACATACTTGATACCTAAATTTCTTTGATGTTTCAGTGCCTATGAAGGATGTTTTTATCCAGAGTGTTTAATGAAGCTCCTGAGTTCTGCTTACCTGATATTCTGGCTTCTGAGGCAGGTAAAACTGAAGGCTTGGGTCCACTATAGGTGTCTCCTGGTTTCCCAGAGCTTTAGCCAGTTCACTCCAGCTTCCATACCCTATATAAAAGATATTCTGGTTAAAAGCTGAGTCAACTTTTACAGACTCACTAAGAATTAACTTGTATAGGCCTGCATGAGACATTTATGGAAACACTGTCTTTACTATTAGATCTGAATCCAGTAGTACCTCAGAAACTAACAAGAGTTTCAGGGTGCCCTGACCTGGATAGCCCAGGCAAGCCCGATCTCATTAGATCTTGGAAGCTAAGCAGAAAGTACTTGGATGGGAGACCTCCTTGGAATACCAGCAGTTGGGAGGTGGGGAAGGCTTTATTCAGCCACCTCTCTGAATATCCTCCAGGCCCCCAGTAGGGGTCAGTCACCAGAGGTCACCATGACTTCCCGGTACGCACACACATATGAAAAATATAAAACCAAAAATGAGAGTTTCAGGGCATAAGCTTTCAAACATCATAGCTCCCTTCATCAGACATGAGCAGAAACTGAGATCTTGGAGTCCTTTTTTCCTAGTCAGAAGATGGGAGGGGTGTTTCTGCCACCAAACACTTCCCCACCCCAGCTCGAATCAAGCTGATCACAGTATGCATTGTACCTCTGCATCCTTTTCTTAAGAAGAAGAAGAAGAGATTGGATTTATACCCCGCCCCTCACTACCCGAAGGAGTCTCAGAGCGGGGGAGTCTCAGAGCGGCTTACAATCTCCTTCCCCTCCCCACAACAGACACCCTATGAAGTAGGAGGGGCTGAGAGAGCTCTCTCGAGAACTGCCCTTGAGAGAACTGCTCTGAAAGAACTTGTGACTGATCCCAAGGTCACACCAGCAGCTGCATGTGGAGGAGTGGGGAATCAAACCCGGTTCTCCCAGATTAGAATCTGCACTCCTAACCACTACACCAAACTGGGTCTCCCATCTTACAACCTCTCCCATCTTCTAGCTAGGTTAAAAGGATTCAGAGATCTCACATATACTTGATCTCAGCCAAAAGGCCGAGATCTCAATTTCTATTTATGTCTGACGAAGGGAGCTTTAACTCTCAAAAAACCTATACCCTTAAACTCTTGTTGGTCTCTAAGGTGCTACTGGGCTCGGACTCGAATCTAAGTGTTTTACTGCAGACCAAGATGGCTAGCTACCCTCTGAAACTGTTTTTACTAGGCAGACAGAAAAAATAAGGGCATGGAGCAGTTAAGTGGCTTGTAACTCTATCCTAACATGATCGCAGTGAAATGGATGGCCCCTGGTCAGATGGCAAAAGAAGCAACAATGAGCTATCCATCGATTAGGCAGAAATCTCTGCATACCTGAGGAACTTCCCGGGGAATGCAGGAAATTATACATTTTAATCAGCAAAAAGATATTTAAAAATCAGCCGGATGAAGACTGACTATGCTCCAAAAGGAGCAGCTGAATGTAAGTTAAATGAAATATGGGGGACGGGGGAGAGAAGAAATCAAGTTTCTCAGTCCCAAGCGCTTAGTCATAGTAGCCCAGACCAGTCTGCCCCCATCAGAACTCAGATGCTAAGCCAGGTTGGTACTTGGATGGGAGACCATCAAGGAAGCCCGGGGTACTATGCAGAGGACGGCAATGGCAAACCACCTCTGCTCACCTCTTGCCTTTAAAAGCACCATGAGGTGGAACCTCATGAGTCAGCTGTGACCTGACAGCAACTTTACTTTTAAGAGCCCAGAAAAACCTGGAGAAGGAGATTGTGGTGGTTGTGGTATTTACATGTTCAGCCATGCAATTACTCGTGGGTTCCCCATCTTGCACATATTCACTCAAAGTATCAATACCATGGTAGAAGATGGACTTACTCCCTAATACAGCATAAAATATCTGGAATTACAAGTGTCCTATGGTAGGTGAAATTGTATGCAGAGTTACTCAAGACTATGCCCATTGCTTTCAAAGAGCTCAGACTGGAACAACTCTATACAGGAAAGTTTAGAGAATCTTTCTGAAGAAAGCCTACAGCTGCCAATGTGATGGATGTGTGAAAAACTTGTAATAGGGGGTTGGATCCAGCAATACATGAGCAGAAATTTAAATGCACTGTGCTGTTCTATAGCACAGAAGCTGCAGCAATGCACTAATATTATGTTTAAGAAAAAAACAATGTGCATATAGAACTGATGTAAAACAGATGTTTCACCCAGGGCTATTTTGGGGCAGGAACACACAGGAACGGAGTTCCAGCTGGCTTCCAAGTTGACCACACCCAGAAGGAACTCATTAGCATAATAGGCCACACCCAACAGCAGAAACTCATTAGGATTGGCTACATTAGGGGTGTGTGGCCTAACATGCAAAGGAGTTCCTGCTACAAAAAAAGCCCTGGGACAACAAACAAGGTAAACAGAATAAGAAGCAAAAGGTGGGTGTGGCTGGATGACCACACTTCTGGTAACACAGGGATGTGGCCTAATATGTTAATGGGCTGTGCTGTCATGGGTGTGGCCTAATATGCTAATGAGTTCCTGCTGTTGGGTATGGCCTATTATGCTAATGAATTCCTGCCGGGCTTTTTCTACAAAAAAAGCCCTGGTTTCACCTAATTTCATTTTGTTTCGTTTTGAAATTGTATCGGAATAAATACTTGGTGTTAAGTCTTGTGCAAGCAGCAAAGAAAGCTGGGGGCCTAATTCATTTAGTATAACAAGTAGACAACGAGTAATTTTAGCACTTCCACTTACACAAGGACTGTTAGGAATGTGGAAACCTTCCATAAGAACATAACATAAGAACATAAGAGACGCCAATGTTGGATCAGGCCAAAGGCCCATCTAGTCCAACACTCTGTCACCCAGTGGCCAAAAATACCAGGTGCCATCAGGGGGTACACCAGTGGGGCCAGGACATTAGAAGCCCTCCCACTGTTGCCCCCCCCCAAACACCAAGAAGACAGAGCATCACTTGCCCCAGAGCCTCTATCTATACCTTGTGGCTAATAGCCACTGATGGACCTCTGCTCCATATGCTTATCTAATTCCATTTGGAAGCCGTCCATGCTTGTAGCCGCCACCACTTCCTGTGGCAGTGAATTCCATGTGTTAATCACTCTTTGGGTGAAGAAGTACTTCCTCTTATCCGTTCTAACCTGACCGCTCAGCAATTTCATGGAGTGCCCACGAGTTCTTGTATTGTGAGAAAGGGAGAAACATGCTCTACCTGTTCTTTCCCATGCATAATCTTGTAAACCTCAATCATGTCCATGAGATCCAACCCAGTGTTATTCTGTCTGGCAACACTTCATTCTAAGGTTTATTTCCAGAAAATACTCCTACAGCACTATTGATTTCAATAAGTTTAGACTGGAGCAACTTTTTTTTTTAATACAGTTGAACCAAGGTCAAGACCTGTATATATGATGATATGGCTATGTGGTACACAATAGTGGAACTCTTTTTTTTTTTTTTTGCCATTTCCTGAGCAATACCCAATTGTCACGTTAGCCTTAACCTTTTAAACTTTTCTACCCCGTTTGACCATAGAAGAACATTATATGGCAGACAGACAGCTGGGTCATTTTTGTGTTGCCCATGTACCCTTAAAAAAAAATTATCAAAATTGCTGTTGATATTGTACAGCAGAGTTGTTTGCCTTGTGCTAAAGGTAAAGGTTTCCCTTGCTTGAAAGCCAGTTGAATCTGACTCTAGGGGGTGGTGGTCATCTCTGTTTCCAAGCTGAAGAGTCAGCGCTGTCCGAAGACTTCTCCGTGGTCATGGGGCTGGCATGATTAGACGCCGAGGCACACGGAACGCTGTTACCTTCCCACCAAAGTGGTACCTATTTATCTACTTGCAATTTCTTGCTTTCAAACTGCTAGGTTGGCAGGAGCTGGGACAGAGATAGGAGCTCACTCTGTCACGCGGCACCTGGGTCTCGAACTGCAGACCTTCCAGTCTGAACCTCTGAGCCTTGTGCTACACACATATATTTTAAGGGGGAAGGATGACTGAAGTAGGAGACAAGTTCAGAAAGGCTCTTCATTTATTATTTCAATTTGTATCATTTCAAAGACAATGTTATTGTTACGAGGCTGTTGGATTTTTTTTTTCATATGAGCAGGTTTATGCATACAAATAAGAATGAACGTTATCACAGCCACAGACCATGGTTTAGTATTCACAATGTCCATTAAAATTAGCTATGGCTACATTCAGCCGCCACAATAAACTGCATAAATCCTGGTCTACCAGATGTACATAGACCATAATTAGTTCAACTCCCCTACTAAATCTGCTGCGTTCTTCATTTCTGGCTAATGTTCATCCCACTTTTCCTCAAAGGAGTCACTTGGTATCCTGCCTCAGTTTTATCCTCACAGCAACTTTGTCATGGTGACAACACTGGTGAGGCAAGTTAGGCTGCAAAAAGTGATTGGCCCAAGGTCAGCCAAAGGAGTTTTGTGCCTGAAGAAGGAGTTAAACGTGGGCCTGCCATATCCTACTTGATGCCAAATTGTACACTACTCCATACCAGTGCTACACCCTGCACCAGCGGGTTGTAGTGGTTAAGAGACCCAACGCGGTATAGTGATTAAGAGCATCAGACTCTAATCTGGGGAATCTGGTTTGAGTCCCCACTCCTCCTCCACATGAAGCCTGCTGGGTGACCTTGGGCCAGTCACAATTCTCTCAGAACTCTCTTAGCCCCACCTACCTCATAAGTACCTGTTGCGGGGATGGGAGGGGGAGGCAATTGTAAATCACTTTGAGACTCCTTAAGGTAGAAAAAAGTGTGGTATAAAAATCTTCTCTTCTTCTTCTTCTTCTTCTTCTTCTTCTTCTTCTTCTTCTTCTTCTTCTTCTTCTTCTTCTTCTTCTTCTTCTTCTTATTATTATTATTATTATTATTATTATTATTATTAGAATTACTCTAGATTTATTTCTGAGAATAGCAAGAACAGAACATACAACACACACCCTTCTAGTCAGACAGGTAACAAACCCCTTCCAAAATCACTTTTTGGAGGCAATTTCACCCCAAACAGGCCTGTCTAATCTTTTGCCATTCACACCTTCATTCGTTAA